GCTTTATACTTGCAAATGGAGATTCTCACTATCCTAATTGGGAATAGCAAAGAGACCAAAGCTTGCACATCTTTTTCATCAATAGCTGTACTTGAACATTTTACAGTGACATGCGTCGTTTTGATCACTATCATATTCGTCGGCACTTCCTTCGAATCCAAGATGCAGATGTTCCTTCTGGCGATACTGTCAGCATCTATAATAGACTTTTGGATAGGATCATTTTTTCCACCCAGCCAGGAAGCAATATTGCGAGGAGCTACGGGATATAGCTGTAACATTCCTTATCCGCAAGCTGTGGATATGCGAATGACCAATTTTTTTCAGTAAATACCTTATACGAAAATTTCCTACCACAATTTCGGGGAGAAAACTTTTTCTCAACCTTTGCTGTGTACTTCCCAGCAGCAACTGGTATGATGGCTGGCGCGAACATCAGTGGAGATTTGGCGGATCCACAGGTTGGGCTGAGAGAAAGATTATTATGTCAATATCAAATTTATTTAGCGTGCGATTCCGCTCGGGACACTCCTAGCAATTGGCATCACCACATTGATCTACCTAGCTACGGTTTGGATGACTGGGACTACTTGTGTAAGGTATGATTTCAGCGCTCTCTTTCGCATCTCGTTTTCTTGTGAAATCCTTCTTGAAGAACTTAAATTTTTGGTACACCTACATGGTTAATAGGTTGCACGTATTTGGCCAAAAATCTACGTTTAGAATAAATTCACAGGACGAATTGATCTTATCTGTTGTTTAGCTGGCCAATGTGCAACTTTCAGCGCTTCTCAACAATTTCTTCAACTTTTGTTTACAGAGATGCAGATGGTATATCTCCTCCCATGTTTAATGGCACAACTTTTATACCTCCGGAGTGCGCGGCTAATCATACTTGCCCCTATGGCCTTATGAACTATTACCAGGTGATTACTCTACTCTCAGATACTTGGGTCTTGCAAAAATTTGCTTTACAAATTGAAAAATCTCTCCTGAACGCTCAATCATGTTAGCATATCTATAGATTATGGAAATGGAGTCAATGTGGGGTCCCCTTATTACTGCCGGAATTTTCGCCGCCACGCTTAGCTCAGCTCTTGCATCTCTTGTAAGCGCACCGAAAGTTTTCCAGGTAATAATATCTTAATGCTTGACCGTACATGATTAAACTGATTACGATCGTTTAGGCTGTTTGCAAAGATCGTCTATTCCCAAAAATTGACTACTTCGCAAAAGGTTATGGGAAGAATGAAGAGCCAAGAAGAGCGTACGGTCTCACGTTTATCATCGCTATGGCTATAATTGCCATAGGTTAGCCGTTATAGCTTTGTAGACATGATCGCGAAAAGTCTTATTGGAAAAGCACTAATCGTTATAATTTAAGGTGATCTCAATATCATAGCCCCTATCATATCCAACTTCTTCCTTGCTTCTTACGCTCTCATCAACTATTCGTGCTTCGATGCGTCGTTTGCGGATTCACCAGGTAAGCCTCACCGTCTAAGTTTGAAAAAGTGTCATGTTTTCTTATTTCTTTTCAGGTTTTCGTCCCGGTTTCAAATACTACAATATGTGGGTATCATTAGCTGGCGCACTACTATGCCTCACAGTGATGTTTATAATGAGTTGGGCCACGGCGTTGATCACTTTCATCTGTTTTGCCGCACTCTTCCTCTACATCTTACACCGTAAACCAGGTAAAACTTCGACCAATTCGCTAAAACAAGAAACGAACTCTTTTTAGACGTAAATTGGGGTTCATCAACGCAAGCGCACAGTTATAAGACCGCCCTTGCGGGAATGATCAAGCTATCTCATACTGAAGAGCATGTCAAGAATTACAGGTACCTTTGAGGAGCGAGATCCGGGGTCATGTGTGTATATGACATTTTAGACCACAATTCCTCGTGTTGTGTGGAAATGCTGCAGCGAGGCCATCTCTGATTGATTTTGCTTACAATATCACGAAGGGATCCTCTCTTATGATCTGCGGTTATGTGGTCCCTGTTAGTTATCTTTGTATCTGTTTGTATCTGCGGTTTTCACGCTTTTTTCATCGCAACGTAAAATCTCAATTTTTGTCTATAGTACAACCCTTCCGAGCGAGTATATTCCGTCATGCGAAAATTAGAGCGTCAGTTGAGCGAATGGTTACGGAAAAGGCATGTAAAAGCTTTCTACACTGCTGTCGCTAACGTCAGCCTTCGAGCAGGTGCTCAGTCGCTACTCCAAGTAAGCGCTTTGTGGATTATATCAAATCTTTGCGTTACCTACTGTTCCTTTAAGGTATGCGGCCTCGGTAAATTGAGACCAAACATCATCCTCATAGGATTCAAATCGAATTGGTATCGTTACGGCGCCATACCAGAGACTTTGGATGAGATGAACGACTACTTTGGCACTATCCAGTAATTCTTTCTTGTTTCTGCAAGCATATGCTTTAGTGAACAATTTAAGAGACGCTTTCGACTCCAACATGGCTGTGTGTGTACTCCGGAATGGAAATCTCGGTCTCGATTTTAGCGAAGCGATGAAACTTCTAAACGTAGGCGAACATAAACGACTGGACATAAATCTGGATGAAAATGCAGAAAAAGAGTAAGCAGTTGTCACAGCAAATTCAGCCTTTAAAATCTTGTTCTGTCAGCTTGCTGCAGGGTACTGAACACAGTGGCGGTCCCAGGATTTCCGTCCGGGGGGGGGGGGGG